CGGGAGGATCTAGTTTCCCTTTCCCACCGACCCAGGTGCCTTCATCTTTCCAGCAGACTGGTGTCCCCTCATCATTCCAGCAGACGGGGGGAGGACCCAGTTTTCCATTTATACAGACTGGCGTGCCTTCATCATTCCAGCAGACAGGGGGACCCACACAGATGTATTCATCCTTCCAGCAGGCGGGAGGGTCCAGCACCCCACACTCCACACACATTGGAGGACCCAGCAGTCCACGTCCGGCACAGGCTGCAGGATCCCGCGCCCCACGTCCTAGACGGACCGGAGGGTCACGCACCCCTCATCCCACACAGGCTGCAGGATCCAGCACCCCACGTCCTACACAGGCTGGCGGTGATGCAGATGTCGTAGCTGATGATATAGATGGAGCTGATAGTCGTGAGAGATCAGATGATCCGAGTGAGATTCATGTAATTGACGGGAGGTTTTGGATTTGGCCCGAAGGAAGCAAGTAAGTTTCTTATATAAACTTTTATTTAAGTACATATTCATTTTAATATTTTGTATAAATTTATAATTAATATTGTTTATTCAAAATCTTGTTGTTTAGTTTCGCGCCGAGTCGGACGGCTGCCAAGGTTATTAATTATATAATCCAGCAGATGTATAAATCCTCTTGGAAGAACTTTGGCGAGGTTACAAATAAAGAAGAATGGTTTAAAAAATTTAAGGTATTGTTATTTATTTAAGTTGTAAATTTATTATATTTTTTTAGTATTGTTATTTAAGTCACATTTTAATGATAATTGCTTAACTTTTTATTTTAATGTCATACAACATTGCAGGAAAAATGTGTGTGGGATCCGTTGAATGAGAAAATAATGGAAAAAATATATTATAGCAGAACTTCTAGAAGATTTTCTGATATCATGCGGCGGGTTAGGGAGAATTATGAGCTGCATGGTAGCCGTCCTAACTGGATAGGCGTAGAGGTTTTTGGCGAACTTCGTACATATTGGAGTTCGCCAGAATTCAAGGCCAAATCCGAAAATTTTAAGAAGATGAGGGCATCCGAAAAGGGGGGATGTGTCAATACTGTTGGAAGTATTAGCACTGCAGAGCATGTCCGGCGGATGGTAAATATTACTAATTTTTTAAGTTATATATATTTTTATTCATAATATTTTTTACTAATTATTTTTAACTTTATTGTTTAGACTAAGGAGATGGGGAGACCACCGTTGATCATTGAGTTGATTACGAGGACTAGGACAAAAAAATCGGGAGGTTTTGTCGACGACCGCACCCAGAAAGCTTTTGTAAGTAATTAAACTTATGTTTTTTTTTAAGTTAATAACAAAAATAGTGACGTTATTTCCACGTGGCAATCTATAAGTTGTGGCGTGATTATCATGTGGCAACTGATAAATTGCCAGGTGACTGATTTTCATATGGCAACTGATACATTGCCACGGGAAACTCACATGGCAATTCATAAGTTGATTTGTGAAAATCACGTGACAAATTTTTAATATATTTGAATTTAGTATAATTTAATATATAACTGTTTTAATTTTTTTTTAATTGTATTATTTAATGTATGTGTAGGATGATTATCAGACATTGCTAGCACGTTTTCTGGAACACAATCCGCAATATAGGCCAGCAGAGGGGGAGCCGCTTAATGGGGATGTTGATTTCTATATTTGGAATGAGGTTGTTAATGGAAAAGGGCCTAATGGTTGCTTTTTTGCGGGAGGAAATTTGGCCGCCGGCTTGAGAGTTGGTGATCGTAATCTGTTTCAAAGACTTAGAGATGGAGAAGGGGGGTCACGTCAATCCAATCTGACTCAGGTTCAACTTGAAACAGTACGACAATTGGCGGCCAGTGAAGTGAGACGCGAAATGGAGGCCCAAATGACGACAATGAGGCAAGAGCAGGAGCGTCAGTTAGAGATCATGCGGAAGCGGCAATCTGATATGGAGGAGCAGATGAGACAGTTTATGCAAGGCGGTCGAAATCAAAATGTTTCTGATCATACACAGCCGGATGATGACGGACTTGATGACTTTGATCTTGATAATTTTCCGGGTGAAGATGCCCCGTGAAAACATTTTTTTTATTTCGTTTTTATATTCGCATTTATGTAAGATATATTTATTTTTATCATTTTAAATTAATAAATTATATAACATTTAATTATGTGAATTTATTTTATAAAATTCTATTATTCGAAATATAAAATAAAATACTATTATTCTAATAATTTTAATATATAAATTTTATTATATAAAATTTATTATATAAATTTTAATATATAAATTTTATTATATAAATTTTATTATTTAAATTTTATTATATAAATTTTATTATTTAAATTTTATTACATTAATGAATTAATATAAAAAATAATTATTAACAATTTTTTAAAAAATATAAACGTCCCCTGTAGCGACGTGGGAATCATGTCACAAATTAGTGACATGATTCTCACGTCGCTAATAAAGCTGTCATTAACAAATATGTAGCGACGTGAATACCACGTCACAACTTTGTGACGTGGGAATCACGTCGCTACTTGCTTGCCACTTACTCCCCAGCGACATAACTCACCATGTCGCTAATTTTGCCTTGCCACGTGATTTTGATGTTTGCCACATGATTTTCACGTGGCAACTAAGCTTCTTTTTTGTAGTGGAACTCGAACAAACTCGTGATTGGATCTCTATGCTTCAATCCATGTAGATGATACAGAAAAGAGGTAATTAATAAAAGATTGGAGGAAATCACGACTTACCTACCGGCGAGAGGTTCGGTGCTCTTTCAACGGTGTCGACGTCGCAATAAATCCAAAGAATCCTCGTGTTCCAGGTACAAAGCTTATGCTCTTTCTCCCGTTTACACTTCTGCTACCGATCTTCTTCTCTCTTCTGCTTCATATTGTTCTCTATTGCTGATCTTGCATTTGTTTCGATGATGTGATCGTTGAAACGTTTTTCTACGTGTTATTGTTGTGGATGCAGAAAGAAGTTAAGATGAGGAAGATGTAATGATGAATGAAAGGTTGATGAAGAAGTGTTATGATGATCGAGACTTACAGATCTTGAGAGATGCGCTTTTGAGATGGTGTCACCTTCTGAGCGTTGTAGAGTTGAAGGACAATGAAGCATGAATGTGTTGAGAATAAGATTGTAGCGAAGAATTAGGTGTAATGGTGATGAAGAGAGCAGAGAGAAAGCTTTTTGGTGATTCTTCTGAAGTTGATATATAGAGAGAGGACATGGGTTCTGGCTCTTCTGAATCTTCCGAAGACCCTTGTCATCTAGCAGATGTGGAAACCGTTAGATTTTTTGAGCTCATGCAATGAAGTAGCTTTATTTTTGAAGAGTGTGTTAGAGTTTGCTTTTTGTGTACATGTGCAATCAATCATTTGCATGCACTTAGTAAGTTATTACGTTGGTCTAATATCTATAAGAAATAGTAAGAAATAGGAAGTTTTTATTTTGTTTTTTTTCTTTCTATTTCAAAATGACAGTTATTTTAGTAAATAAATTTTGTTTTAAAATGATTGTGATTTTTACTTTTTAATATAATTATGATTACTATTTCTTTAAATATATTTTTTAAAAAATTAATTTTGTAAAAGTATAATATTTCATGATAATATTATTATATTTCTTAATTTGTATGCAAATATTTTAAATAACATTTATTTTGAAACGAAACAACTATTATAGACTGAATTAAACACCCGGGGTTAGGTATTTTGAGGTGGTTATAAAATGTTGAAAAAAAAGGTAGGAGTGACCACTAGTAGCCTGCTACTAGTTATGTCTTTCACGCAAAGGAAATTCATATTTATTGCATCATGTTATAATGATATTCATGTGTCTCTATTATTGTTGTTATACTTACTACAAATTATATTCAAACTATACGTAAAATTTCTATAAAAAAATAATAGTAACGGATCTATTACAATAAGCAAAGCAATAGTATCTTTATAGATACATGAGGATGCGCAAGGAAGAAAACATGTTGAAAGCATGGTTTATAAAACTTTTATATTATTTTTACAAATTCATAAAAAAAATCTCTTTTAATAATACTCTCAATAAAATAATATCTCTATAAGCATTCTTTGATAATGAGAAGTTACTCTCCCTTTCTCCTTTCATTCCCCCAAAGTCTCTCCCCCTCCTAACTTCTAAACAAAACCTTACATATTTGATTCTCCAAAGGGGGAGGTGATAAAAAATTAAATTCGCTTCCAAAAAAATGATCGGATCAAACATCAAAGATTGATCAGGTAAAAGAAAATAAAATTACATCCAAAAATATTAAAAGATGAAAATCCAATGAAAAAGACGAAAAAAGGTTGCTACATATTAAAATGTGTATCTTCATAGAAGTGTACCAGAATAAATTCAAATACCAAGTCAAGCTTTTGATTGTCACAACAACAAAGTGTATCCAAAAATTACAAACCATATAAGATAACAATGTGAAACCTAATTGCAGTATCCTGATTATTTCTCTTCACAATAAACCCTATAGATACAAGATGGGAAGTATTGAATAGGACTTCCAAAACAGAAACAGAAAATTGTTACCTAATTAAAAAAAAAGGTTCAGGTGAAGAGGCGAAACACACGGTCAATGAAAGTCTGGACAGAATATTCTCATATGAAAGAAGATTGAAGCATAAATAAGCACAACAGACTCCAAAAATTGGAGATGTGGATGGACATGTGCACAATGAAATTGCAGATTCTTTAGGAGTTATTCTAAAGCAAGGCAGTCTGTATGGGTTGCTAAAATTCTCATGGTTGGCCATGGTTTATTGATCAAAGGAATGGCCACAATAAAGATTTATGAACATAAAGATAATCAGTGTGAAGTGTGCTAGATCTGAATATGAAACTGGGATATAACTGGGAGGGAGAACAAAAATACCCTATTTGAGGACCTCCTTGAATAATGATATCTGGTTGAAGAATTGAGATTAAAAAAAAAGGAGTAATGATGATGTATGCGTTCACATTTCTGAACTTGAGGTGTGAGAGACATTACTACTTGTGGTATTGGCAGCTGGTAAAGGACTAGAACTCTGCGTGCTAGATTGAGAAACAGGGCCACCAGTTGACAGATTCAAGCCAGCTGATCCAGTTGTAGTGCTCACTGATGAAGATATTCTGGATGGGACAGACTCTCTGCTGGATCCTGCGGTAAGTTCCGGCTGCAATTCTGATGAAGATGAAGGAACAAGAGTACCAACAGAGGAACCCACAAAGTGGGGTGCAACTGACACATCAGCCAGGGAAGAAGCAGATGGACTGTAACTCAGTGATGCAATAGGATGATCAAATTTGCACGTAGGACCAAACTTGCATATGCCACGCTGTGTGTAATGAGTACAAGGTGCTGCCCCCTGATTAAAAAACACAAACATGGATATTGGAAGTAAGAACACAGTCAAATAATAGTTTGGAAAACCGTTTCATCTGAACATATTTTACATTCTCAAGTGCCAGTCTTTTAAACAGATAAAGTAACAACTGACAAAAATCTAAAATATATTAAGATACTTTCCTTTAGCCAGATCCAAATGCATGAAGAAAGAAAGCAATAACAGCTGAGTGAACCACATAAGACAGACTTATCTTGTTTCAAATAACCACCACGTTCAAGAGAATCGGGAGGGACTCCGAATCTGTCTATAATATGGAAAACAGAAGCACACCTAATCTAAAATTACACGATGGACATACAGAAAACTTAGCCATAGCCAGCAGGGGAACATAGGATTCAGAGATTAAACAGATGATAAAGCACAAGAGCAACTACCTCTTACCAAAGGAACATGCAACGAAAGGTGTTTCCTAACACTGACAAGAGATTTCAAGCATATGCAACTCCGCACAAACCCAAATTACACATGATTATTGCATAAGTATTTCATATTTAACCTAAATGGCACTCTGATAGAAATCAAAATTCATGCATATGAAAAAATAAAGAATATGTAATACTTAAAATGCCAAAATATTGAGTTTAACAGGGAGTTAAGGAGAAAAAAAAGTAAACAGAAATTATGTTGGATATCACATAAGAGAGTTTAGATCAAGTAGGGAAAAAAGGGATCGGGAAGACATGCCCTATAAACTGTTAATTATGACACTTCCTTCACAGAAATCGGGCAACTGATTGTTAAAAAGACCGTTTGTAAAAAGCATTATTACAAGAGATATTCTCTAAATGGTTTTACTGATATTTTGGTTGAGACCATTGGGGAAAATGCATTACGAAAGACCTTTTCGGAAATGGTTTTACTGATATTTTGGTTGAGACCATTGGGGAAAATGCATTACGAAAGACCTTTTCAGAAATGGTTTTACTGGCAATATGGTTTTGACTATTGACGAAGCCCATTAGCATTATTTGATCGATTCAACAGAGATCACCTAGTGGGATAAGCCTTACTTGCTGGGTGACTAGTTCCCAGAAAATATGATAAAAATAATAATCATAGGACTTCATATTTAGGGAATCTTAGCCTCTTCAACCAAGTTCTTAAGAGTTGAATCCATAAAACCATCTCCTATACAACAGCAAAGAGTCCACGCTTACTATGTGGAGTCAGCAACAGTGCTAAATCCTTAACAAATAAAATTATGGAGGCTAATAATAGCCTTAAAAGTTATCCTATTAGAATTGTATTATAAGATTTTACAGAATACTTAATCTCATGACAAAGAAAAACCTAAAATATTTATGGTCTTACAAATACCACCTGAAAGGTTACCCCAAACAACCATTAAGATCAGTATAGTGTATAATATCTTTTAAGGTTGTCTGATATGTAACTTAATTGATTAATAGCTATATAATATTTCCTTGGTATCATTTTAAGAACCATATACCCCATAACACTATTATGAAAAGCATAATAGGTAACATGAAATCATTACCTGATAATTAATAACATGTTTATATACAGAAAGGGGTGGAGCCAGGATAAGATGGCTGCATATACGTACTATTTAAAGATAAAATATCTCAAGGGGTGTTAAATGAAATTTGCATATACCAAAAAAAAATTCCACATACCAAAAGAAATTCAATTTACCAAAACAGAATTCCATGTATATGAGAAAGAAGTATATGCAAGCTGTGAAAGTGGAAACATGAAATGCAAAACTCACTATTGGAAGTAGATATAACTAATATGCAGGACTCAAGAAATTACCTAAAAGATTACATATGGGGAAAAAAATACCCCTTCGTGGTCAATATGGGATTCCTCACGCCCAACACTACTGGGCTTGGTGCATGGATATAAACGGTGGGTGGCCCGTGGCCCTATCAATAGGCTTTGATATAAACTTGTCCCTACAAATCCCGCTTGTAAGGTGAGCGGCGTCACTCTAAACTTTTTTCAGGCTCTATTTGCAATCAACGCGGGACTTGAGATCTTCCCAATATAATACAACAGAACGTGATAACCCCCAATCACAATTTTTTTATGTTAGCATTATCTACTTAGTTAAAGAAGTGTGCTATAATCTTTAGCTCTTTATAGTACACTGAAATTTTGAATGGGATCTTACAGACAGAACTTACCCTGAGTACAGTCATAATGCATCAGACAAAAACATTTAACAAAATATCCACCTAAATAAAGGAACGAGATGAATGCTAAGTTAGCTATAAGAATCTCGAATAGACTGCAGAATTATAATTCAAATATTTCCCAACTTTGACTAAACACTTGTCCACTGGGAATTTGTCAATTCATCAAATGATCATTCAACTAACTTTTAAAGGCTGTTCAGATGTGAAATAACCTAAATGAACATGACACATAATAAAAAAGACAAAAGCCCAATATCAGAAAATTGTAAACATAAGAATAACCAAAGCACGTGCACTAGAAAGGAAGGAACAGTGGCTCCAACTATGATTTGTTTTCAATGATGAATTGCAAACTAAACTTGTATTTCAATAAAGCAAGTTCCAAATTCTGCATGAAGCTATTGAAAATAAAATGATCATAAGTCAATTTGGTTAAACCACAGCAATAGCAATAGCAATTTCAATCACCAAATACTATAATATTTTGTTGGAGAGGAAAGACGGGTCAATGACAAAACAATAACAAAAAATATTTCTTTTACTACGAGATGGAAGAGTGAAAAAAGAATCATGGAGATATACTAGAGGAGCCAAAGAACAAAGAAGTTGAGAGGAAATCATTACCGGGCGTAAAGGAAGACCTGCAGGACCAAGGACAACATTCGCTTTTTGTGCACTCATGTCTGGTGGTTGGTTATACCTATATGATGGACCAAATGGAAGCTCTTCTGGTTTAGAGTAATAATGATACTCTTGTTGATTAGGCCTAGCCGGAAATGACTGCTCCTTATGACCTCTGCTTGAAGGACCAACCGAGGAAGCAGAAGGTTGATAAGGTCCGGTATAGGCATTACCTGGTGAAGGTAGCTGGGTTATGCCATAAAGCTGTGTGGAACCAACATTAGCAGGATTACCAGAAGGAAGTACAGGGCTTGGTGCAGTAGCCTGCACCAAAGAGCTCAACAATTAACATCTTCGACGAATGCACACAAAATCTGACTAAACAGTATAAAAGAAATGATTGACCTACCTGATAAGGACCCCAGCCAGAAAAGGGAACCATGGTTGGGGACAATACTACATGCCCATAAGGGCTCTGGACAAACGAACCGGGTAGTAAAGGTGGCCTAGCGACCAGTACACCAATTTGTTGTGATGATGGACCAGATGGAGGCTGTACGGTTGGATATATTGGGGCTGGTACTTGTACATGTAAAGGTGAAACTGGGGGAACAGGTGATGAAGCTGGAATTTGGACACCAGCGGGAACTGTATGATCAAATTTACAAGTTGCACCAAACTTGCATTGTCCTGTTTTCACAAAATAGGAACACTCCTTTTCACCCTGTTAAATTTTAATAATTTATCAACATTGAAATTCAGACTAAAATCTTTCCATATATAGAAAACACAACCCAACATTAAAAAAATGCTTCATTTAATACATTAATTAATTAAATTAAATAAACATACCGGACGTAGTGGATATCCATAATAATTTAGTGACACAGGACTAGCATCAGTGCCTCCTGCCTGTCTAGGATGATGGTACTTGCAAGACGCACCGAATTTGCAAGATCTTGTCCTCATATAATACTGCATTTCGAGTAAGAAGCATACATAATCAACACAAATTGAAAGTCTTATTAAAGCATAAAGACAATCAAAACAAAAACATAAGCTGACTCCATCCTCAAACATACGCATATGACAATTGAACTTGAGCACAATGCTCATGACACAAAACAAGGAATTACGGTATGAATTATCAAATGCAATCATATAAAGAACCTGGCACACAGGCTGGCCTGCACGTTCTGGATACTCCCCTACAGTCCTAGAAGCAGCTCCAATAACCTAATCAAACAAATTAACATTTCTCCAAATTAGTACAAAACACTATCAGTATATACAATGCAAAACAAAACATATCAAATTAATCGGAGAATCAAGCACGAAATCACGAAATCATCAAATACACGCGAATTAAGCCAAAGAAAGAAATAATTATACCGCGCTACGGTCACGAGGATGATTAAACCGGCACCTAGAACCAAAGCCACAGAAACCTGTTCTCAAATAGTAAGTGCAATCAGCTTCATCAGGTCGTAGTGGATACGAATCCTCTCCAGCACCAAGCCCCAATTGCCACATAGGTTCTACATTTCGCAGAAATCAACAAGATCAAAATTCAAAAACCACTCCACAAAATCACATTCTTCAAAAACCACGAATCAGAAGATGGTTTACCTTCGAGACCGGTTTGGGGGTCCGGTCCAGTCCATTCCGGCGACGGATCAGAGCGGGAAGGGTCAGTGGACCGGGGATAGTGGTCCATTGCACGGTAATCTAGAATGAGAGGTTCCGATCAAATGGAAGTTGGTTGTAGAGAGAGAAAATGAGGTTGGATTTTCTCTCTCCTCTCTCTATCTCTCTAAATCTCTATCTGAAATGAGTCTAACCCACGCGGACAAAGCTTCTGTCTCTACTCTCTCTCCCTCTCTTTCTCTCTCTATCTTTCAGTTTCAGTATCAATTTCAATTTCAATGCGTTTTGATTTTTGATCTTTCTGTGTCTGCAACTAGGGGCTTCTTTTATTGGTCTCTCATCACTTTTTACACGCTTTTATTTTTATTTTTTTTTATATAAATTTTAAATATATTTTTATTACATTTAAATTTTTTAATTATAATACCTCGTAACCTTGTCCCCGCCATGACACAGTAATTACCAAATATATTTATTGTCTTCCTTTAATTTTCTTGTTTTTATTCAGGTTATTGCTACGTTAATGTATTATTATCGTCACAGATTAATTACTGCCGGAAAACCGACGCAGGATGTTTCTGTGTTTTTTATTTAGATTTGCTTAACTTTGTGGTAATTATGTAATCGTTTTTCTTACATGTTTTCTATTATCATAATAATCATATTTAAATACAACTTCAAATAAAAACAAATGGTGTTATTCCTAATGTAATAAAATATTTTTTTTATAATAATACATTTAGATATTTTAAAATGAACGAAATAGTACAATAAATATAATATAATAAAGATATAATTAAATTGTTTTGGAAAAAAAGTGAAGAAAGGGAAATTGTGAAGGAAGCTGATTTGTAAGTGAGCAGTAATTGCAATGGAGTAAGGTGTTGAAAAAGTTTCAAGTATGACATTTTCGGTGAGGGGAAGGACGTGAAAAGACTTAATTGTCCTTGATTGAATTTAGACATGTGGTTTGGTTGGAGTTTAACATACTATGGAATGTGATATTGACACAATTGTCCTTTACTCTTTTTTATTGCTTAGTAATCTTTTCGTATTAAATTAAACTAATGCAATGGGTGATTAATTAAATATAAGATTGAATTGAAATAATTAATTAATGGATCTTGTGGGGTGTTGGTGATGGCTTGATAGCATATGCAAAAAAGATCATGAGATAGGTAGATGACATTTGGTCCATGTGGAATAAGGAAGATCTTCCTTAAAAGCAGTAAAAGGTTGCATCAATTTACCATTAACAAGGTTGGATCCTATCCTCTATTCAAAAAAAATAACGATTGTTTTTTCATTAAAAAAACAAGGATAGTTGTTTTAATAAATCTATGATTTATTATATTAGTATAATTTTAATATTAATGTGTTCAACATTTTTAAGTTCACGAAATTGGTATTTAATTTTTTATCTTTCTATTATAATTCCTTGTCGTATTTTTCAATTCAAAAATAGTGATGTGAGATTTTTTTAATTATGTGAGATGTTATAGTAATATAAAATTATTAAATAAATATACTATTTGTATATATTTATTAAATTATAAAAAAATATTCAAAGTTGAAATTAAAGTTTTTAGGAAACTTCTTCACAAGTTCTTTGGTAATGATCATTGTATATTATCAGATGATATATACCATTATATAAAACATGTCATGTAATTATTTTTAAGTTTGAATATATTTGGGAGGGATCAAAATTGAGCCATTTTAAAATGGATGGGCCAATTTCATGAATCAAAATTGTTATTAAACTTAAATATTATATAACGTTCATTTTTTAAATTTTAATTGGTTACTTTTACAAAGTGTCTTCCTAATTATAAAATTTTAATCATTGATAGATTTTATCAATTTCATAAACAATAGTATGTAAATTTATTGATACAGATTAACAAGTACGGGATGAGACTATCCATCTACTTTATTTTAATGAATACTATGTTTTAAAATTAAATTTTAATAACCATATTAGTTAGAAAATTGAATTTTCTCTCTTTTGGTATGCTAACACATATGTAAGCGTGTTAATAACATATACTTTTGTATATGATCGTACCTGATCAGAAGAGATTGTCAAAGTCTTCAAGTTTTGAACCGAGCAACGGTGAGAGGTGAAGTGGGAGATATATGCAAGATACTCTAATGTCAAAGTGAAGTTCGGAACTAATGCAAGTAAGTGAGTATGAGAATGTGAATGAATTAATATTTGACCCTCTCAAGTGAGAGGGTATTTATAGCCCCTAGTGTTGGGCCAAGGTCTTCAATGTTGGGTCACGATGAGGCCCAACACGAAGACTGTCAGGGCGTACGTGTGTATGGAGTCCAACATGTGGCCTCCTCCTTGGTCATTTGCCCCGAGAGAACAAGTGTTGGACTCGTAATTTTCGGAGGACAGTTATGATGACGATATAGACACGTGGGCAACATCTTCTTAGAGGACACGTGGGAAAATGTCCAACGGTCTCCAGCTTGGGCTGCATGCCTTTGGGCCTTGGGCAAAGGCGCTGAATTGGGCCTCCCTAACGATGGGGCAAGCGTTGGCCCAATCCAGAACAGGAGCCCCCTAAGTTATTGCCCTTAGGTGAAAGGGTGATGACTTAAGTTCAGCTTCATTATTGGGAAACATTCACTTGAGAAGGGAAATCGAAACCTTTCACCGGGGATAATTTATTGACCTGTGTCGGGGATCCCGAAAGCACGCGAACTACGCGGCCTACTAGATCATTTGTCTGTTTGGTGCCCGTCACGAATATGTAGGATGCTAGGAGTTTCCCTGAGTTTTCTTCTTCTGTGTGCCTGTTCACAGGGTGTCGCGACGATGTCGAGCGTTACTTCGTCCCCGCTAGCGAAATGTGATAAATGTGCCTGTATGTAAGGTTTAGTCACGGGGCCGCATGTTTGCCCGTTATTAAGCGTGCATTGTCTTCAACGTGCTCGGGAATAATGTTTCGTATTAAAGTAGGGGATAAGTTTGCCTTCAAGAGTGGGCGTGTGGCTGCTTGTTAACGCCACCTGGTAGCTGTTTTGGGGTGCCATCTTTTCGTAAAGGAGTTCAAAAAGCCCAAAATAATGATGATTTTTCGTGTGCAACCTCGTGGGATGTGAACCATCTATAAAAAGGGGACCTCATGGGTTCATTTGTTAATTTCAAGCTTTCTTCTGCACTTCTCTCCATTCGCGCGTGGATCCCCTCCTCCTAGCTTCTCCATGGAATTCTTCAACGACATTATTTATCTAAGTAAGTCATATCCTCTTGATAACATATTTTTTTAGAATTTTTAAATTAAACACCTAGTTTTTATCTTGAGATGATGAATCTTGGATGAACATTCATGGGTTCTGCAATGAACATTCATGAATGTTCATTGAAGCTCATGGTAGTGGATGAAGTTCATCGCATCGGGGTCATCCTCCCCAGATAGTAGGGTGGATTCGGGCATATATGCCCGTTTGACTAAATGTCCCCGAATAGGACGCAGTTTGTCTCAATGTGGCAGTCGAGGGCTTGGGTCGAGGTTCATTCCTCGACGGATTCATCGCCCTTTCACTTGATTTGTGGTGGAAGGGTGGATTTGATGATGTCGAATTCATTTTGTCCCCTGCTTTTCAGGTATAATGGCACATCTAGTCGAGGAGGACGTCGCGCCCGCCAATCGTGAGGACAAAACTAACATCATGGAGGACCCTTTGGCATGGGTTGCTCCCGAATCTAGAAATAAAAGGTCGTGTTTCTCGTATGATGCGTCAGACGCGTTTAATTGTCCGGAGGTTCGAGCAGAGGGGGTCCCCGCCAATTGGGCTCTACAAGTCCCTCATCGAAACAGGAGGATATGCTCGTCGTATCCAGGAAAGTGCTTCCCTATGTATGAATTTGCTTTCAAGGAGGCGGGATGTGTTTTCCATTTAATGACTTCCAAGTGGGGGTTTTCCAATGGTTACAATTGGCACCCTCCCAGCTTCACCTGAATGCGCTTGCATTCATGCGAGCATTCGAGCTCGTCTATCGTATCTTCAAATAGGCGCCACACTGCCCCTCTTTTTCCGTATCTTCCACTTGCAAAGGCAGTTCATCGGAGGGGGGCAAGCCTAGGTGTCTTTTAAATAGTTTGGGAAGCTTTTCTGACCATATCTGGAATCTGCTTGCCATTTCAAAGAAAGGTACTTTATCGTGAATCCTCTCACGGACACGATCGTAGCTTCCTTGTATGATCGCTCAAAAGAGATAGAGAAAGGCTGACCAGTAGTCCGGTTGATGGCCAGATTTCCGCTTGAATGGCAGTGGAAACATTTCGAGCAAAAGCCTGAGTACTACGCGGGGAAACTTGAGGACTTAGATGCCCAAGATCAACTCTCCTATGAGAAGTTGGGGTCTTATGTTAAGATTTTTTCACCGGCGAGGTGCATGGACGTGAACAACAACCTTCTCTTTGATGATAAAGGGGAGTATCTTCGCGTTAATAGGTTGATCAATACGAAAGCTTTGCTCGAATGTTCTTCAAACAAGGAGGCTTTGAGGCTTTTAGGTAGGGTATATGGATGTGACCATATCTTTATATGTTTGGCTTTTATGCAGGGGACATGCCCGCGATATCATCTTTGTTTGGCCTGTGACTAACAGTTTCCTTTTGATTACAGGTCAGATGGTGTCCCTTTTTAAGCGTCTACTAAAGTAAAAGCCCAAGAATGCTTCCACCTCGAGGCCTAAGAATAGGGTCGCTCAACTTCAGGAGCAGGCCAAATCTTCTGCCCGAGTGAGTGGTTCCCCTTCTTTCTCGAAGACTCGGGTTCCTCCTCCAAAGCAATCAGTAAAGAGGAAGCGTGTAGAGGATCCTGAGCGGGTTGCACCCAAAAGTGATAAGGGGGCCGGAGCAGTTTTCGTGTTGCCTCATTGTCATCTCAACCGTGATATCTTCAGCGAGGAGAGTTCCCTAGGTATGTATGAGGAGGAGAGGAAGGTGATCTTGTCCGAAGACAAGTGTTGTACCCCAAAATTTTCCCTCTCATTTTATCAAGATTTCCCTCACAAGACTTCTTGGACTCAAGACCAGATTAGGGTTT